TCTCCGCGCGTGCGTGCCCGCCCGGCGTGTCTCGCACGCCAATGCCGCTGGCCGCCTTACCGCGCGCGTGCTGCTCCACCACTCCACATTCCTCTAGGAGTACGGTCTCGCGCATCGCGCGTGCTACCCCATACAGCGTATCGCGCGCGCTTCCGCCCCCGGCTGCTTCCTCGCGCGCGTGCCTCCCCACCATTCCGCACACCTCGAGGCATGAGGATACGCGTGCGTGTGCTTCCTCGCTGCGTGGACCTTCCGCGGTCGCGCTGGCTAGCATCACGGCCTGCGCGTCCTGCCCACTTTCGCCATGCACGCCATCCGTGCGCACCGACCGTATATCCGTGCGCGGCCTGTTCTCGCCCGTTCTGCGCACACTACACTCTAGTGCGCGCACTTCTGCCGTCAACCGTGCTTGTCTCCTGCGTGCATGGTAGGCTCGACTTGCAGCGTTCTTGAGTTGCCTAGCCACTTCCGCATCATTCCCGTCCCCTTCAAGTGAGTCCTTGTCCTCAAGGATGAAATTCGGGAACTGATCGCGCATCTTGTCAAGATCTTCCTACGTGGCTTCTTCAGATGGCAACTATTCCTAGTCAACTAGTACTTCCCAACGATAACGTCCTGCTTTCTTTACCTTACGGTACTCAATCACTCGTTTTGGGTGTACTATGGCCCTGCCATCGGCTGCGGTTGTTGGTAACTCCTCACAGTACTTCTGCGCTTCTCCTAAACTTCTCTTAAGTTGCGAGATATGGATAACCGGGTGGATTTGAGAATTTTCTGGCAGTTCTAGACGGTAAGCTACCTGACCAATGCGCTATAGAATCTGATAAGGCCCATAATAACGAACGCCCAGTTTAGTTGCGGCCCTTTGTGCGGTGGTGCGCTGTCTGAATGGTCGTAGCTTCAGGTAGACATCTTCGCCTGGTGCAAAATTTTCCTCACGCCTTTTCCCATCTGCGAAGGCTTTGGTTCGATTAATTGAGCCTTCGAGATTTTTCTTCAGCTCACGCAACATCAAATCTCGTTCCTCTAGTTCTCGACCAACCTCACCGTTGACTGTACTCCCCTCCGAATAATTGATCAGTGTCGGGGGTTTTCGCCCGTATACCAGCTCAAATGGCGTCATCTTGGTCGACTCGTGGTAAGTGGTGTTGTACCAATACTTAGCCCAGGGCAAAAAGTTTTCCCACCGCTTCGGAAATTGATGGACGTAGCATCTCAAATACTGCTCAAGGGTTCGGTTGGTTACCTCAGTTTGTCCGTCTGTCTGTGGGTGGTAGGCTGAGCTCATATATAACTTAGTCCCTTGCAACTTGAAGAATTCAGACCAAAAGCTGCTCATAAAATTCCAGTCTCGTTCAGAGACGATGGATCGCGGTGCTCCATGCAATTTCATCACATATTCCACAAATAACCTGGCAATCGACTTCGCGGTGTAAGGATGGGTAATGGGTATGAATTGAGCATACTTTGTGAGACGATCCACTACGACCATAACAACGTCAAATCCATTAAAACTCGGTAACCCCTCTATGAAATCCATAGTAATGTCTTCCCAGATTGCCTCGGGTACCGGTAGAGGTTGTAACAGCCTGCTCGGTCGTCGTGAGTCAGACTTAGTACGCTGGCAATCGTCGCACCGTGCTATGTAGTCTCGGACGGTATTCTGTTGTCCGGGCCAGAAGAAAGTGTTGGCTATTCTTATCCACATACGATAGATACCCGAGTGACCTCCAATTTTAGAGTCGTGGAAGTGCTGCAGGATCTGCTCACGTAACTGCCCACTGTCGGGAACGAATACTCAGCCCCGGTGTAGAAGCAGACCATTATGCAACTCGTAGTCGATAGCAGTCGTCTTACCTGCTTCTATCGATTTGTGCATCTCCTGGCAATAGGTGTCCTCTACTTGTGCTTTCCTGATTTCCTCCCAAATAGTCCAAGTTGGCCCAGTGATAGCATTCAGCTCGGCTACATCTGTTCGTCGAGATAATGCGTCAGCTACTGCATTCTGTCGACCAGGTCAATAGACTATCTCGAAGTCAAACCTTATAAGTTTAGATACGAACTTCTGCTGCTCGGGGGTAACAATCCTTTGCTCCAGTAGATGCTTAAGCGGCTGCTGGTCGGTCACAATCCGAAAACGTCGGCCCAATAGATAAGGCCTCCAGCACCTTACAGCCTCGACAACTGCTAGCATCTCCTTCACGTACACTGATAGACCCAATCGTGTAGTGCCTAGTGCCTTGCTGAGATAAGCTAAGGTCGTCCCTCTTGCACTAACACAGCTCCAATCCCAATGTCACTTGCATCGGTGTGAACCTCGAACAAGACATCGAACCTTGGCATGGCGAGCACTGGCGTTGTAGTCATGGCTTCTTTCAGTTTCCCAAACGCCTCCTCACTAGCTTTGGTCCATGTGAACCCGCCTTTCTTAGTCATCTCTGTCAGTGGTTTGGCGATGGTCCCATAATCCTTCACGAACTTTCTGTAGTAACCCGTGAGTCCTAAAAATCCCCTCAGCTGTGTGAGACTTGTCGGTTTTTTCCAATCGATCATAGCCTCAATCTTTCATGGATCAAACTTCACGCCCTCGTGGGATATGAAGTGCCCCAGATACTCAACCATCTTCTGCCCGAATGAACATTTGGATGTCTTGACGTGAAATGAGTTGGCCTCCAAAATTTCGAGCACTACTCTCAAATGCCCAAGATGTTCGCCCCACGACTTCGAATAGATCAGGATATCATCAAAGAATACCAGAACGAACTTACGGAGATACTCTTTGAAGATAGAATTCATAGCGAACTGGAAAGTAGATGGGGCGTTACACAATCCGAATGGCATGACCAGATACTCATAGTGCCCCTGGTGCGTACGAAATGTTGTCTTTGGAATGTCGGCCTTGTGGAGTCGAATCTGATGGTAACCAGCTCTCAGGTCGAGTTTTGAGAAATAGCGTGACCCAGCTAACTCGTCGAGCATGTCGTCGACGCTAGGGATAGGAAATCGATCCTTGATAGTTGCAGCGTTCAGAACTCGGTAGTCAGTACAGAACCTCCACGTGCCGTCTTTCTTTTTAGCTAACAAGACTGGAGAAGAAAACGGACTCTTGCTATGCTGGATTAGTCCTGACTCAAGCATCTCGGCCACTTGCCGTTCGATCTCGGTTTTCTGAAAGTGAGCGTACCTATAAGGATGAACGTGTATGGAGTGTTGCTCATTGATCAGTGGTATGCGATGATCGAACTCCCGACGTGGGGGTGGTCCTTTAGGCTCTCCCAGTACTACCTCAAATTCCTTGAGAAGCTCGCGCACATCTCCCTGCTGTTGTTCCTTTCGGTCTATGGGCGCCTCAGTTTTCTCTACTACTACTGCAAATATTTGGCCTCCACCTCGCCAAACTTTCTCAATGCTCTTAACTCCAAATTCCTTGGTACCTTTTTCATTGCCAGTACTCAGAGTGACTTGCTGACCTCCGGAGTTGAACTCCATAATTCCTGTTCGATAGTCGGTGGTCACCTTGCCTAACCCTTCGAGCCACTATACCCCTAGGACGACATCCGGCCCAACCAAAGGTAAGGCATAGAGATCAGCCTTCACCGTAACTCCGCTGAACCTGATTGGCACCTTCCGGAAAGATTTAGTGCATTGCAGCCTCTCACCATTGGCTACTCGTACCTCAAAAGGCTCAATCTTCGTGGTTGGTAAGTTTAGCTTCTGGGACAAGTCGGCATTGATGAAGTTGTGTGATGACCCGTTGTCCACGAGCACCATCACCTTCTGATCCTTGACCCAGGCCGGCAATCGCATCGTCCGAGGCCCTCTAACCCCAGCCATTGCGTGCATCGAGATTTTTGCTTCTTCGTCGGGCCCCTCAACTTCATTATCCTGATGTGGCTCCTCCTCGGCCTTAGATCCTTCCTCATCAGGGTTAGCAACTTCGATCACAAAAGCTTGCTTACATTGATGACCTAGCGTAAATTTCTCCTTACACTTAAAACATAGGCCTTTCTCGCGCAGACGTTTAACCTGCTCCGGAGACAGTCGCCTTACTATTGACCCCGCCGGTCGATTGTTGACATTCGTGCGTGCGCTGGCCGTTGCCTGGTTTGGCCCCGTGCGTCGCGTGTCCGTGAATCGCACATCCGCCCGTCCCCTTCGCGTAGCGACTAGATGGTCTTCTCGCCGCCGGGCTACCTCCAAGGTGTTATGCATCGTGTCTGGTCGCTCCAGTCGGACTTCTGCGGCTAGATCGAATCTCAGCCCACCTATGAAGGCTCCCACTAGCGCATCCTCAGACCAATCTCGTACGCGACAGGCTAGTCGTTCAAACTCCTTGATATATTCACGCAAATTGTCTGTCTGTCGTATTCGTGCGAGGGCTTCATTGTAGT